CCATATGTCCCTCAACTGTAGGAATGCGGCCCTTGCTTTGCCAGTCCTCGCCATTACGTCTGCATCCGATCCTCCTCCTTCATCGACGACGCTACCCAGATAAGTGAAACTTTCCACGTCTTCGAGAGTCTCCCCACCAAGCCAGAGTGGGTCGGTATTTTCCATGTTGTATTGGAGGATCTCGGTTTTCCCTTGTGTATGTTGAGGCCTGCTGATGCAGAGACTGCTGCTACACCGGTTGTTTTCATCTGCATTTGTTGATTTGTGTCGGATCGAAGTGCCAGGTCTTCTGCGAAACAGAAATCTTCTAATTGGTTCCGAGCTGTCCATTGCATTGCATTTTTCCTCTAAGATGTCGAGGTCGAGAATACAATCGAACACCAGAAGAAAGAGAAAAGGGCGAGAGTAAGCCGGCTTGTCTGACCTCGAAGTACTTTGTTGAAGAAGGTATATTTACAAAATCATTAAGATATTCTCAATCAAACTTTGAATTTCGATCCCGAATAACAGTCTAATGGTATTACTATGATTGCTTGGGACAGATTGTTGAATCACATAGTTTACAACATACATTTATCTTATTTAGATAACCAATGAATATCAGCAAGTAGTTGATAGTTATTTCTTTCTAGTATGCGACTCTTCGGAAATGAGCATTCGTCGTCCAAATTCACGATCTTCACGTCTTTTTAGACCTGATCTAACAGTCAAAGACTTCATGATTTAATAATGTATTTGTTTGATCACTCCTAGCTTTCTTCAAATATATGTTACTTCTGATAAATATCATCTCATTGGGCTAATGAAATTGGCTCATATTGAAAAAGCCGTAGATAAATCAGTTTGAGATAAATAATCACTTGACATTTCACCTATTACATATCCCAGATAGCACAGCCAAATTTATTAGTCCTCCCTCCTTGTTCAAATTCTGAACCCCAATAAATGTTATGTATAGTTTCTTGAAGTTGTATAAAATGATACTTTATAGATTGTAGTTAACGGATTACCGAAAAGCCATCCGAGTTACAATCATATTATCAGTATCGATATGTGAAACTATAGGGAAAATGTTCTTAATAGGACTCTAATTTGATTTGTTGATAAATTTAATAACCTTATGGTTATAAAACTGGATGAGCAGTATACTACATTTTTCAAACACCTGTAGCGATAGGTGGTGTGCTTATTGCTCCTCCCATACTTCCATCGTTGTTAAACGTGTTAGTGGATTTCTGGTGATATATTTTAGTATCAAAGTATAATTTTATTGAAATAGACATGTAGCTGAATTCCTTCCTTGTAGACTCTTGTATTTACTGCCAGAGCGTTTGTGAATTACAATAAATCAATATGAGAGATTTGTGGAGATTGTAGTATTTTCACAGTAGAAACTACGAGTCGATCTAAGTTAGACATTAACACTTTTAGATCCCGACCCAGTGATCTAAAGGTTAAACATTCGCGTGAAAGACCGAAGGTCTTGGATTCGAGTTCCGTGTGTGGATTTATGGATGCGCGCTGTTGAGAAGTATCATGATAGGATGAAACGGCTATCCAGCGCTTACAGGTTCTTAATGGTGATCTACCTTAGAGAGACACATGATTTCAATTGCGAAAATTACATCGAAGTTAGTACACGTCACTTAAACTATTTCCTAGTGGGTTATATATTTTCTTATGACCAATTTCGAAAATAGCAGAGAACAACGCAGAAAACGATCATGGTGGATTATTCATTTGAATCATTTTAGGAGAATCGAATTTTTATCAATAACCGACATCACCTTGAGAACCATTGATAAATTAACCATAATGCCAAGTACTTTTATCCTCGGTTGGAACACTGTGTGATTTCTGAAAACTCTGTGTTCTATCATGTAATGGGTTGTGAATGTGTACCTATGAAGAGTTCTAAATCAAAACGAAAACGCTATCCAGTAAATTTCATAATTCTTTATCTGATTTCTACTCTAGAATAAAATTAACTGCAAGTTTCACATAAAGTAAATAAAATAAGGGAGTTTTGTTGATACTGGCAATCATGAAGGAATTACTTGGCCTTATCAGTATGGGGTTGTAGCGATTGTTGAATTTCATAGAAACCGAAAACTAACCAAAATTACATAACCATTAGAAACATAGGAGCACTGAAAAGATGGTTAGTTCAATATAGAAGTACTCATACACGGTCTCCCAAGAGAAAAGCGGACTTAAAACCTTCGTTCCCGTACCAAACATTAATCTATGGATGGGGTCGTGAGTGCACACTGTTGGAAATTAGTTTATTTTGTTAAATATATAGAAAAACATCTCAAAAATCACAACCAGATGAATGTGGTTGACGAGATTAAGTATAGTCCACTAGTTCACAGAATTTATGTAGTTGTCAAAAGTCAATAAAGATGAAGTGACATACAGATGTGAGATTTGAAATATTATCTAATTGAAAGTTATACGAAAGATAAACTTTACAGTTGACTGATCACTGACCAATGTCATGCATGTCAAGTTCTTCTTAATGCTGATCGAAGTTTATCAATCAAGTTTCTATATGGCTGTTACTAATCTATGTGACTCGGGATCGTATGAACTGTGCTCAGATGTAAGGTAGTGGTTGGAGGTAGAAGTTAGGAATCTCTTGACTTATTTTTTTCTGTTATTTAGTACTCGTCAGCAAGGTGCACTTACAATTCTTAGGGAACTATTTCTCCATAGAGGACTTAATCCCGTTCACCAAGCTTAACAGTTAGAAACGTTATCTCTAAAATATCCCGTTTCTCGTTCAATTTCATACGCATTGCCATTTGAATATGACGTTACATTAAGTAATGTGTTAGGGATGCAGAGGAGTATACCAATAATTATCATGTTAAGTCTAATGGCGTCCTTGGACTTTAAATGGACATTTCCTATTGGTCAATATTTATTTCACTTGTCAAATATTGTAAAAATGTTGTTTCTTATTTTATGGTACGATGTGGTCTGGTTGATTGGTATATAAATAGAATATGTCTGAAATATAATGATTCATATCTCAGAGGCTAAGACTTGTGTTCTGGACTCAACTGGCTGGGATAGACAGCGAAGCAGGGCCAATCGGAACTCTAGGTCGTTCGTACGTGTTTTCCGTGTCACTGAAGCGATCGATAAAACGCTTCACTCTAATCTGCAGTCTCACGTCACAACATAATGATTGCCTTTCAGTACTTGTCCTAATGACTTAATAATTCTCTATTTTATTATAGACCGCTAGTGCAAAAATGTTAACTATCAATATGACTGTACAGTTGGTATTGTCGAAATGAAAACTTTCATTGCTGGAAAGTTCTAATTTTGTTCATTTGAATATAGTTTATAAATGTTTAATAAATGTTGGTGAATATCATGTCACCTGGTGAATGGCCTTAGTTTCATGAAGCCTGTTTGATCACAGTATATACACCATAGTAACAGAGTAAACAAAAATGTGTTGAGCGTCCAATGAGAAAATATGATGTACTTAGAGTACAATACACAGACGTGTAGTAATTAACATAACAAGTATGTATCATAGAAGTTTCAGCTATCTACTTATTCAAACAACAAACAATTTGTTCAAAGTGAATATGTTTATTGTTCGTGAGTAGTATAACCATAACAAATTATTTAGAAGTCATTGATATGGAATGAGTTTCGTATCAGATATCCCGTATCTTATGCTAAAAGACTCTTCTGTCTTGAACACTTTTACTGACTGTTAGATAACTATACTTTCGTCAGTTATTAAAGTTTGCCAATTGATTAGATACCTTGTTTTGAGAACTTACTGTCTTTTCTGTTAATTTGAATATGTAAGTAATTTATCAGATTTTACTCATTTTTATATAATAATATATGAATTTTAGGAGTTAAGATCATGAGTCAAGTGAAGCTAGACCACCATGGAAAACTTGGAAGTACTGGACAACTGTTTCGTTCTACCGTAGGACTCCTCAGCAGTGTGTATCCACTATCCCGTCACATACTAAGACGAAACAGCCATCCAGTGCTTCCAGGTTTTCCATGATGGTCTAGCTTCAATTGACTCACGATCTCAACTACTAAAGTTACTATAATATGGACAAAATCCCCTTCTGATAATAATATATCAGTCAAGAGATCTGTAGCAATCATTTTCATAAAGAATTGTTACCAGCCGCGGAACCAATAAGATCTTAATAGCACAAAACAGTAGTTTGTTGCATATTTTGGACTATTTATAGAAATGTATATCGCCTACCACATATGATATAAATCCGAAAATTTTGACGTGTCATATTGTATACAAAATCATTCGGTTGAAATAAATTGGTCTGTATCTGTAAGTGTGCTTAATTACCGATTATGTTCATTTTTGACAGAGTACTACTCCTTACGCAGCTGATCTCATTGGTTACCATTTTTTGATTGAAAGAAGGTCTGACATCTGGTATGTAAATTCATACAGTTATTGAAAGCGACTGAACATTTTCGTGCCCTTAAATCTGATTCCGATTTGATCGTATGCTACTTGTTATCGAAATATACATATCACCAGTCGTCGTATATAATAATCGACTTAAATAACGGAATTATATTAGTCAAATACGAGAATCAATTTTGAATAGGTGTATTTCACACAGTCGTTGATCCAGACAAACAATCGGTGATGCAAATAAAAACGTACGAATCGAAACGACGCTCAATAAAGTAGGCATATGAGCCAATTCGATTTGATCAAACATTAACCAATATTTATAGTCAGACAAAAATAAGCTATAGCCATGTGATGAGTACGATATGAAATATACCTACATACACTTACATAAAATCAGTCAAAGTTAATAACCGTATCATTAACAAGATCAAAATCTAACTTGATAAGAAGTTGAACAAGTTGATTTATCCAGAAGCTAGAATAGACTATGTCAGTTCGACATAGCACCAGTCACTAGACAACTTAATTGAATTTATATCTAACGAATTTAATAAACACATTTAAACTTCAATACCAAGTAACTATCTTCTTATTAATATATTCTAATTTCATGTAGACAATAATTACATACAACTGAAGTAACAATCATCTATATATATATGTATATATGAGTATTCAGTTGCAAATTGTATAAAAGAAGCTTACAATATTTGAAAAAAAAAATAACAAAAGTACAACAAACACACAAAAAGATCATTAAAAGGCATGTAGATATAAAAAACACAAACAAACAAACAAACATTATGGACAACAATAAAATAGATAGATAGATAGAATACATAGTAATGAAGATATCAACATTGAAGGTATCATTGATTAATGGGAATAGAGGCAGTAAAACTTCACTGTACTATAATCATCGTATAAAAAAGCAAACATTATTTTCTTTTAAAAAGTTCAATACAAAGTAGCGAAAAAGAAGAAGAAGAAGAATAAGAAGGAACAACATACAGATTTCTGTTTTCTGAATGCATATTTTAAAATAAACAACGAAAAAAAAAGAAAAAAAAGGAGAAAAAAAGAAACAATCGCATACTGAATAGATGTTAACAATAGACAAAACAAAACACTTACAATGTCTTATTTAACAATTAAGGAATGCATTTATTCCAATAAACAATTAAAACAAACAAACAAACAAATATGAACATAATAGAATAATTAAATTAAAGAATCCTATATAAGCAGTAGATTGAAAAAGATTCAGCTCCATTCTATTTTCATAAGTACAATATATTAACATAAAAAAGATATCATTATGAATGGAATACACAATACTTCATTGATGTATATCTTATTCATAAAGGATTATAACTTATTGCCTGTTTAAATATTAAAAATACAAGAATGAAAAATATTGATGAAAGAAGAGTACAAAAAGAAAATGACAAAAAAACAAACAAAAAAACAAGGTGGTTGTAATTTGTATAAACGGAGAACAGGAAAAGACTAAAATTACAGCTGGATTGAGTTAATAAATATTTTCATCAATAATATTTTATAGTCTCTATATGCTTAATAAAACACAAAACATAATAAGCGAATGTATGTCATAAAACAATCGTAATGTTTTATAAAATAATAAATACAAAGATAACAGATCTGTTATCACTATATAGATTGTAGAATTAATTGTAGAGATAAGATAAAGCTATATAAAGAAAAAATTAGTTTCAGAAGAAATATAGAGTTAGAGATTATTAAAGATCTTTATTTATTTATTAATAATAAAAATAGTGCTCCAATGAGAAAGAAAATTTAAGTGCACTGTTTTTGCTTACTTATTTATAATAATAGTAGTATGAAAACGTATCCTAAAATGTTTAGTTGATTCAAAATGAAATAGAATATATTGATGATTAAGGCTGAAAGGTTAATGTACACAGTCGAAAAACTGAAGTATATTATTGTTTTTTAAAAATAGATCAGTTTGTATACAACTTATTCGTTTAAAGTAAAACTAATTGTAGACTTCAAAATATAAATATCAGATTCTTTGAAAAGCTAATTTACAATAAACAATTTCTGATCTCTGCATACATATATCATCCGAGGGTGTAATAATACAGATATTGAGCAAAAGCGTTTATTTGGGTGAGAGATATGACCGAGGGATTCAGTCAAAGAACCTCAGAGGAGGTACTCATCTAATTTACAATATAACGTTAAAAAATATCAACATTAACACCAAAATGAAAATTAGTACATTTCTTGATAAGTTACCTGAAATGATTTGTAAACGTGCTTATTGTTATTGGGAAAAAAAAAGTCTTTTCGCCACAGTTAACACGAACAATGAAATATCTGGCTATTCAACGGTTAAATTAACACAATAAAATAATTATCAACTGTAATGAAAGTAACGATAAAGGAAAACTTTATGCTTGGAAGTTGTCCAGGATCAATAGACTCATTCAAAGTAATCATATTTCATTTGTTATGTTCTTTTTTGTCTTGATTATGATTATTTTCACTTTGATGTTCATTATTATTTGATTTCTGATTATCAGTATTGGTTTTCTTTTCTTCGTTATTTTGTAAGTCTGTATAGTAGGCCAATTGTTCTAAGGCCGGTTGAACAATAATTGGCTAGTAAGATAGAAAACAAGAACAAAGTTTTATTGAATATAGAAGACATTCCTTTGGTAAATTTAGCATAATTACTGTGAAGGTTGCATATATTGAAAACACTCCATGATAAGATTTTGGGTGTATCTACTTTTAAAAAGTTTAAAACCAGACGTTGTCAGCTATATTCTATGGTTATCACTAATTGGTTATGAGAAATTAGCTCTTGATAAAGATTACCTTCAGGTCCAACAAACTCTATAAAATATCCTTAATAAAAATTGTAGCTTTCTAAACGATTAATGTGAAATCAACTAGGTACATTGGTAACTTTCAAAAATTAGTCACATGTGAAACAGTCAATTTATAATAGAATACAGTCTAATTTGAGAGACAAAACGGTGAGACTATAATTTATGGACGAACCAATCAGATACAAGGTAACAAGACATGAATTTGGGCGCGGAATTCATCCATACATTTGGTTAAATAGAACTTTGCATTATAGCTGATGTCAATTTGTGATGAAAATCTTAAATCTAATTTTTAACCCAAACCATCAACTGTAAATGAGAATTCTAACTGATTTATAACCCTCATTTAGTCCTAAATAGAAGTTGTTCACTCTCAAGGTCACTTCAGCGTCACTGAAAGGTCGTCCATAAATTATAGTCTCACCGACAAAACTATAGCCTTCTTGAGTCGCACAAAATAAATTTAATCATGTTATGATGATAGTATAGAAGTGAATTTAAAATAAACACAAACAGTTTCCAGATAATTTTTAACTAATCAAAAAGTACCTTCTGTGAAATAACTAGTTTACGAAAAAAACATTCAATGATATACTAAATATAAGAAGATTTTATATAATTGGTAAGTTTTTTTCAAATCATCTACAGCTACCTGTCGATGTGAGAGGCAGAAATTGCATATATATTCGTCCTTAAGGATTATCTGTTTTCCTGAACACTAAAAGAAGCCCAAATTAGTTTTGATGAATTTGCACAGTGTTCCCGATTAAGGTTAGATATTTAAGATTATGAGTAAGAGTTTAGTCTTAAGTTTTCATTACGAACTGATATCAACTATAATGCAAATGCTCTGTAGCAATATAGATGAGTGGATCTCGATCAAAAATGAAAGATGAGCTTCTGACCAGTAAGTTCACCAAGCTTGGAGTAATAACTTGAGGGTAGTATCTAGTTGTCAGTTATAAACAATCAAAAGTTGCAGGACTGAATATATACTACCTGCATTACTGCGTTTTGAGCAACATACAAATGTATATCAACTATCCGAAATAAGTGACATATAAATATAGTGCAAAAGCCTAAAAGTTACATTCGGCGAGACTATAATTTATGGGCGAACCAATCAGTTATAAAATAACAGGTCTTGGATTTTGGTGCGAAACTTGGCTAAATAGAGTTTTGGTATTATAGCTGATATCAGTTCGTGATGAAAACCCTAAATCTAATTTATAACCTTAATCATCAACTGTAAATCATAATTCTAATTCCTCACACAGGTTCATAATATTCATTTGGTCTTAATTATTAGGTGGACACTCTCAAAGTCCCTTTAGCATCGCTCAAAAGTAGTACATAAATGTTATTCCAAATAGTGTCAGTTATGATACAAAACTGCCAGGTATTTATAGTTTTTCGTAAAAACGAAATCCTCATTATAGTTATCCAATCCGCACACAGGGAGTTATTATCATCTGTCCAATAGGAAAGCTACACGTAGGGATTCTGGAATATTCCTCCAAACGATGATTAAATGGAATATCTTCAGGTCTTTCTGAGCTGATCAGAGCTTCCTCAAGTTCATCCGTGAACTATCCTCACAAGTCTCACATTATATTCTGAATTTTGAATTGCTTTTCTTTACACTACATATATTATTCAACTGATTTTAGAAGTAGTACTTACAAAAAAACCCCAACTATCATTAATAGACTATCCAATAAATGGAATTTTAATGAAGAAAAAAAGATTTCATTTAGGCTAGTAAAGTACACATAATTAAACTTTCATTATAACACATTTGATCAATGTGTTTTCACATTAATAATCAATACAGATACTTCAAAAGTACAAAAGAAAACAAAGAAATACTTGGTTTCTCAACTAGATTTAATAACAGATGAAAACCATTTCACATATTGAAAAAAATAAGAATTGCTAATCTTATACTTTGTCATATACCAGTTATCAAGTAGGAATTCAGTAATATTGAATAATTTATGAAAACATTTATGTTTTTGTTTCTTAAACAATGAAAAGCTAACTGAACATGCATGAATGGTAATATTTCCAAACTATAATGAATCACATTGTGAGATACGATTAAAAAAATAAAACAGTCAGTCAGTCAGTAACAACGTACAACTTCGTACGTACGTACGTACATCAGTTCGAGTTGTTATACCACATTAGCACAGACATGCGGTTGTTCATTCAAATCCCATAGTGGTAGAGGTAGTAAAACTAAAAGCAGTAATCGGAAACATTGGGGTTTGGAGATGTTATTTAAAGAGTATAATACAGTGAAATAAATTTGGAAAGAGAAAAAAAAGAAAGTAACATGAAGAATTCAGAAGAATGGAGTTTGGGAGAACACAAAGAGTGGATGCATCTACGCCATTACAGACAATTTTCAGTCATGACATTCAACGTCTGTAAGCATCGGTTGCTATCATCTCGCTGATCCTAACCACGTAGTCTACACCTACCAACATGACTCAGTCCACTTGTCAGTGACTTCATGAATTTGTGCCATGTTTTGGTCTGGCCGCCCCTAGCTTTCTTACAACCTACTACTACACCATGAATCATTGCACGCCATGGCAGTCAGTGGTTGGACATAAGTAACACGTGTCCCAGACATCTCAACTGATCACGTTCCGCTACTCCATCAATTGATTTGACATCCTCATCTAGTACCCGTTTCCTGACAACTGCGTTACGTAATCGGTGGTCCCATTATATACGAACAATGCTTCGAAGGTACCTATGATCAAATGCTAGCAACCTACGAATATCCTCCACTCTTTTCGGCCATGTTTAACTGCCATAAATTAGGATGGAACGAACTGTCTCTCAGTAAACTCGTTCATTGTTTGGTAGACGAATATCTTACCTACGCCATAAATGACACAAGTTGGCAAAAGCTAGTCGAACCTTCTATATCTGTTCTGAGATTTTGTCACACACCAAACCACAAGGTATGATGAGACTTCCGAGATAAGTGAAGTGGTCAACACGTTCAACTACTTCACTCTCTATCATTAGTGATCCTACACGGTCAGACCGAAGATCGAAACCAAGAACTTTGGTATCGCGAATGAACATTTGAACCATATAATTTTGAGTAACTCACTGTCTTCGGTGGGTAATTGCTTCACGTCTTTATTGATTATGACCATGTGATCACTAGTACGAAATTCTAGGTATTACTCTAGAATTCAAGTGAGAGGCCATGATCAAAGGGATCCATTCATGTAGCTTGTGAGATAATTAACCACTCAAGGTAATCGTAGGTGGTACCATAAACTCGCCAAATGATCGAAATTAGACCTCTACATCGGCTCAATTGTTTAAAGATTGGGCGTTCACCGCGAGATCAAAATGTCTAGGTTCGATCCCTAGTGATGACGTCACGGATGTGCATCACTAAGAAGTTCCAAAGTAAAATAGATCAGCTATTCAGTGCTTCATGTTTTTCAATGAATCGCAAGCTTAAGTCAATTCGTAGTATCACTCAATTCTAAAAATTATTCCAAACACTTTTTAAATCATTATTCTTTATATTAGTAACGATATTTTACCTCTTATTGAATTTCAACTTGAATTCTGAATCATTTTGAAAAAACAAAACTTATTTCATGGAATAATCGAATATTGACGTAAAGAACATCAGTTTATCAGTTGACAATCATAATAGATAATAAATGATTGACAATTTATCTGTTTTATTCTATACAAAAAACTTACTTTAACTTCTGGTAATAATTTAGCTAACGATTCAAATAGAGGCAAAATAACAAAACGAATAAAACCGCATTGACTGGCTGATTTAGTCACTTTATGTCGATCCATAAATGGAGCAACTGGAAGACCAACAAGTTTTTCATAATCACTCTATAAAATAAAATTTTTAAGAAAAAGAAAATATAAAGAAAAGTTCATATTTTTAAATGGATTTAACTGAACTTTACTCATTTTATTCCTATCATCGATTACTTATTATGTAATCAATTGTTTCTAACCGTTTGAACTGTTGTCACAATCAATGCTGTAGACTTTTCTTTTACATATTCAGTCTAGTAAATTTATTTCCCGACCGTAGCTGCTACCTTGACCCAACCGAGCTATATTGGCTGGAACATATGTTCCTGTATGTTCTACCATGTCAGGCAGGTCGATTGGAGAACGGTAAGACTAAAAGCATCAACTCAAGGTCTAAGGGCGAAGTCGTACTGCTGACTGTAGAGGGGTGTGACGGCAGTAAGGTGTTTCCCTCGGACAACCAGCATCTGCAGCGATGCTGCCTAAAAGTGTCACACCTCACCTTACCTCACGGATTTCCGTCTCCGGCAGTAAGGCCCTTTGAAGAACGAAGCTAACACGTAAAAAACCTCCCACAAGAAGACCGTACGCGACCGGCCTCAAGAAGTTGTCCCTTGGACTCTGCGGTCACGATCCCAAGTCGTTAAGGCCAGCATTAATCCAACTACCTTTTCAGGTTCCTCAAGAAATACCCTTCCACGGTGTGGGCAGCCGGGAAGTGACACCAGCCCTCATATCCGTAACAAGTTGGTCACATTCAAATCCTTCCTACACCTCCTGATACCTCTCTTATCTCCTCGACTAACACTTCTCACGTCCCTTTATCACCTCACGCCGCTAGGGCAAACGATTCGACAAGTAAATTTATTTACATTCTTGCTATACTAATATGTCTTCAACATAACTCCCGATTAAACTGTTTCATGTAAGTAATTTAAACTCATTATATAATTATGATTTTTAAGTATTACAGGTTGTAAGCAGCTGATGAGAACTAAAAGAAATAAAATGAATTCATGCTGTTCAGCTAGAATCTTTGTTCTTATCTTTTCAACATAATAAAAGGAACTATGTGTATGAAATGAAATAAGTGTCAAGCCGTACAGTTATATATATGGCGTAGGCTATTTATATCGACAAACATACCTGTCAAAAGAAGGTTAAGAACTGGAGAAAACAGAAAGAGGAACAGAAAGGAACTAGAAAAATGATGAAGGATGTAAAAGACAGTTGATGAAAGATTTACATATGAAGTATTTGATGTATGATTGTCATATTTTATCAAAGAACTCTGTAGTTTTCTAAGGAAAATTAAATTGGTTCTCCCATATATATATATATATATACATATTTATATATATATATACATATATATGAAGTAGTAATTCCAATGAGGAAATAGGAACGATGAATCAACATAACGATATAATAGAAGAACCATAATACTAGATAATATAGTGTAAATATGAGTTTGATAATGTTGTCCAACTTCTACCTCACGTTTGCAAATGAAGAAGGAATATAGAATGAATAAGCTAACATTAAATTATAATGTAAATGTAATAAATGAACCATCATGTTTGTATTACAATAATCAAAAGTAATAATAATACTAATAATAGAAATCAAGAAAAAAGACAAGAATACACACAGTTCAAGTTCGATTTAGTCGATAATGATAGATTCTAATGTTTTTGCTAAGTTTGAAGCACTTACCAGTTCACATAGACTGCGAACAAAACAATTACTTATGATCAAAGACCAATGAACTAGCTATTCTATTGCGTCCTAGCCCCGCTAACTATAGAGAGAATTCAAAGTCCGAACGGTTAAGTATATTCCGTAAAAAGCTAGAAGCACGAGCGATAACAACAGACACAAATCAAAACGTATATATACAGCACAAAACCGTCCTTGGGAAGCGTTACAAAATAGCATACTAAAAGACAACGGATCAATAGCGTTTAAGATTCTCCCAAATGGGAAATACGACCTGAAGGTGAAAGGAGCGTTTTTGGAGCGAAAACAAAGAAATTCAAATTTTCTAAATAAAATTACATAATTAGGTCCCTTTCCAAGTGAGTTCTGGGGATCTAACGTCCCCAACAGTTTTAAAAATATGGTTCAATTATTTAGACCAATGATTACATTGTAATTACATTATCATAGAAGATGAAAATAATGTATAACAAACATCAAATTTATAATGAACAATTTAATAAGTAAAACTGTTATATTTATCTATAAAACATTTGAATTTGTAACATAATCAGTATTGTTCAATTTATTATTGATCATATGAGTATATAATGCACATATTTAAATCTTATACCCTAACGACAAAATGAATTATATTGACTTTGTGACGTTTTACTAAAAGAATCAATAATAAAAAATATTGTAGTAATCTAATATGATTTAACTCTGCCTGAAGCCCCTCAAGGGCTAATGCCGATCCCGAGCCCGGATAAAGGAGGAGGGTTGGGTATGAGGTTAGCAACCCCATCCCGTAGAAAACTAACTTGCTAAAAAAACGCTAAACACTAATACGATTTGATTATTTCTTTCTTTATTTTTAAAGAATGTAATCAACACTCATAAATGATTACCTGGGAAAATTAATTATCATTCATTGAAATAGACAAATCATTTAAATAATAAATTATAAGTGGAATAAAAAAGGACATAGTAACAAAGTTATAATGTGAATGTAAGTGTTAAAAAATTGAATGAATTAGTGGCATATGAAAAATCAATTTGATTAACTTCCAACCATTGACTGATTGACTGATTGATCAATTCGAATGCTGCTTCATCTAATTCGATGTATACAATTGGATCGTATCAAATATTCATACAACAAAAGTATGATACGAAACTGACTACATAAATCTGTACTTGATTACTTGTATTCTCGAAATAATTACATTTAAAGATTACTTATGAAGTATATAATAATATTGATAAAGTCACGTTATTTTCTTTTATTCTAAATAAGTGACACGTAGATAAAATCAGAGTACAATATTATTGTCTGTAACATAATCGATAACCCATAGTTACGTAGCCATAAAGAAATGGAGATAGTTAAATTTCATATCAATTATAAGTCGGTCATACAATCATTGAAAACCTGGCATAAAGGTCTAACTTTAGTCGGACGTGATCATTTTCCATTGTCTTCGGTGGGTAATTCTTCACATGGGACAATGTTTAGCTTAATTATGTACTATTTAAATATCTCCTGACTCATTAAGAAACGTTACAAATTTTGGAAAGTAGTTTACTGTTAAACTATGATAAGATGGTTGAAATAGGAAATTGTTAGAGAACCTCAGTAATTCTTCGAAAGCTTCATCAAAAAATCAGGAATAATGGTAAAAATACTCCGATAGATCAGCGTTCTTCAGAAACGTACAAGAGAAATCTGGAAAATAACTAATTATGTCTGGATTATTCAAATCCAATAATTATCAGATTTCTTCTTAATTTTAGCATGTTTCTAAGAAGCCAGATTTATTCTCTGTCTCATATAAAGTAATCCTCGAAACAAAGCTCCTTCCTTATTTCTCACCTTCTGCTTTCTATCTGAGATTGTAAAGCAGAACTCATCTGAGAAATAGTAAACAACTAGAAAGTCAGTGTCTAATAGTCGACCAAAAGACTTATTCAAAATATGAACCAATAACTTATTAAAAAAATCAATTTAAAGGTACCATAATCACGATTATGACTTAAATATATAAGATTGTGGCAACACACTTCTGAAGTGTACCAAATTAGATTGAAATAACGATTTACTTTTTCATATTATTAAGCTAATAACAGTTGGTGAATAGAACAATCTCTTTAAATGATATTCAATGTTATAAGCAAAAGTTTCAATCAATGTCTAAAATCTCAGTTTCTTTCTGTAAGTGAAAATGAATGGGTTATTTGTCAAGTGAAGCTAGACCACTATGGAAAATCTGGAAGCACCAGACAGCCGTTATGTTAAAGAAACAAGATTTCCTTGGTAAAATTCATTGCACAAAACGTTTTCCTTTTCTTTCTTTAATGGTTGTGATCAGGAGTCAAGTGACACTAGACCATTATGGAAAACCTGGAAACACTAGACAGCCGTTATGTTAAAGAAACAACATAAAAATAGAAAAAAAATTTTAATTAATTAATTAATTAAATTAATTTAGTAGCAATTAAATTTACTTGATGAAAAAATTCCGCTAATAATCGATTTATCCATGGGCCAGCAACATTTAAAGGACGTGCTTCATTAGATATATCAGATATTTTCAAAATAATGACCATAACAAGATCTTTTTGTATTTTATTCATAACCCATGTAGGTTTTTTTGTATTTGGATCAATTTCCCATGCAGCGTTTAAATCAGTTAAAACTTGACGATTAAATTCATCTAATATTTCATTATGACGTGACATATCTGTAGCCAATATACATCTGTGAAATACCAAAAAAAAATTATACTTTATTCAGTTAAGGAAAAAAACAAATGTGATTCGATGAACTGTTGAGTTATTTCTATTAGTTCTACAGTAAACTTCAATTCTTTAAGTGACGACATTTTTATAAAAATCACTTCAATCAATGGTAGTTCTGAATGTTTACGACGGAAGTCAGGAACTTTTAGAATCAAATAAATTAAGAGTACAGTGATCAGTCAAAAGAAATGTAGAATCTGAAAGACATGCATAAGTCAATCACATAAGCATAGTGGAATAAAGTTATTTGGATTAAAATTATAATAAAGATAACAATGAAAGCAAGAAAAGTTTAGACCTAAAAAATTTGGTTACAGAAGAAAGACCAACATCGAAATCACCAACTGATCAAAGTTACATAATCATTAGTAACTTGGAAGCGCTAGACGGTCATGTCGTCCTAGTATGGGATTTCTCAACAGTGCTCGTCTGCAACCCTTAAAAATGGGAATCGAACATTGGACGCTTGGTTTAGCACGCAAACGACTAACTTACAGATAACTGAGCCAGCATTCAATAGTGAACAAGTCTAGAAGTTAAGCGTTTGAGGGTGTGACGAAAGTCCTGGGTTTGTGGGTGCGCACTGTTGAGGAATCCCAATTTTAGGGCTAAATGGCTGCTCAGTTCATTCAGGTTTTCAATGATTGTGCGGCTTTGATCGGTTCATAACTTCAATCTGCACAACCCAATGTTGATAAGAAAGAATCAACTTGCAATATAAAAGGCTTTAGGTAATTCCGAAAATAAAGATCTAAGGGGATGCAAAGAGTGAATTGATGTTTGGCACTGAGACTTATTTTGAACCACATCAAAAAGGCCCCTAATCAATAGTCACAGCCAGGTAGTCCGAACCTCGAAACGTCACTCAAACTGACAGTTAGTGACTTCATGGACTGATGTGACATCTCAGTTCGGCTGAACCTATATTTTTCGATCCTAATTATGCAATCAATTTACGTTCGATCCACCTCCTGACACGTGCAAATTTCAATGATCAGAATTTTTGGAGAAGAATATTTTACCTTTTAATAACCATTGAATTGTCAATTTAGGTTTGATATTTCAAAGATGATTTTACACGTAACTGATAAAACAACTAATTTGAAAGCTGTAACTAGTGCTTATTCTTTGGAGGGAGAAAATAAAAAGAATCAAGACTGTCAAACTAAATCATTGTAATAAATAATATTACCTAATCACTCCTTTGCGAATTCGTTGTCTAATAGTAGTTGAAAGGTGGGAGAAGGGATCGACTTCTTTATGACTCAGTAAATCAAATGCAACAGCCGTATGATGATTTTCTAATGGACTTTGATCATTGTATCTCATCGCCAACACGGTTCCAGCATTGATCTGATGAAGGAAAAAAACAAACAAATTATGGATTATTGCAAGCCAAAACGAAATACACAGATGTTTCGTTCTATATGGAAGTTCTCCATGAAAGCACATTCATGGCCTTGTCAAAAACCGAACCTCGAACCTTCAAATTACACAACTACTATCAGTCCATGACAAAGGTCATTTCAAACTAAACTAGCATCCAAAAGTAGGAATCAGTAATAGTTAGTTTGACGGAGATGGTTTTCACTAAGAACTAGTTGGAATCGGAAACCACGACTACCGGAATTTTGATTAACAGATGAGTAGCATTGCGTCTAGTACTACACCTGAAAGCGTGGTATCATGTGGGGTTGTAAATGCGTCTATAAAGGAGTATTTAACCAGGACGAAATTGCCGTTAACTTATAACTTTTTAACACTTCTCCATCAGAACTATCAAACTAGACTAATTTCTACAAACCATTTGGAGGTTAGACAAATTTGTACTTAAAATCATAAACAGTTCGATATTGTTTCAGATAGCTTGAATGTACTATAAATCAAACATTAATCACTCAATAAACTACAATGTTATGAGCATACTGTCGAACGACAGCTGTAATTGATATTCTTATTAAAAATTGGAGCACTGCATCCAAAAGGTGAAGATTAAAAATTATTCAGCTACCTGAACTGGCCTCTACAAAATATTCTCATGTTCTTACTGTTAAACAAAACGGGTTTGTTCAGCTCAAATATTTCTTATATCTACACACATGAACAATTTCATTGATTTATATGTATAACACTTCCTCTCTGATAAAATATTTCTACTGTTGTCAATATAAATGATAATTCTGCTACCGGGATGCTTATTACTGACTTCATAGCTCCTTCCTATGATCCCAGCTGCTTCTGCACCGGATAAAAGAAAATGATCAAAATGCGAGTAAGAACATTACTGCAAGAAGCTTCAATTTAGCGCTGATAAGATGAAACACTCCTTGGTGTTCTCTAAGCCTCTATAGATTTTGACAAAGGATATTTGTGGGTTTCCCAACAATAAGGCTTTTGTGGCGATTATAGAATATTACTGAGATAACAGATTAATCAACGTTAAACATCTAGTGGAAACATGGAAGTATTGGACAGGTGTTTTATTCTGATATGAAACTGTTGAACGGTGAGCATCCACAACCATATTAAGGATAGAACCAAAGACCTTCAGGTCTCTCAATGAGAGTCTAACCTTTAAGCTAAAAGTCCCATAACAAAACAAATCGTTTGTTCTATGCTCCTTAGTTTAAAATGGTTACCTAATACAGGTTGGTTTGTAGTCTGTTATTGCTAATGCTCTTAAATATCATATTTCTACCAAAATATGCTTAAAATTCGCTTATAGGTAACCCTCGAACATCTTTGAAAGGAATGATTTTTAGAAATAGAGAAAACAACTGAGTTTGCTATCATTTAGAATAAACTAATTTCATTTCGGCGCCAAACCAGTTAACTATAGGTAATAGCGTTTAGTTAAAACTTGCTTTCTTGTCTTTTCTTCAGAATATAATAACTTTATGATAAAAATAGTTTGACAGCTAGATTCTCATAAAATCATATTAACAAAAATTGTTACAGTAAAAGAAAACGCTCACTATGAAATTTAAAGATGAATAAATCAATTCCCAAGTAGCCAGTTGTAATCTGCAACCAAAGGTGATCATCATCTGACCAACTTCAATACGGATGTTCCCCTATTCTCACATTATTCGACCCTAAAGTTAATAACTTCCCAGAATAACACTTTGCATCAACCTGGTTGAGATCCGGCTTTTAGGCATATAAATCTACACTAGTGATTTGTTTTCGCATTGGATGAATAATTTCCAACACAAACTTCTTCCTTGCCCTCTAACTAGGAATAGAACTTCAAGGATAACTAGAGGATCTATTGATAGAGATCCAAAAGAATTATTGATTATTCGAATACCTTCATTCATATACAAGTTTAGAACCAGTGATTATTTGTCAAATCAGACAAAATTTACAAACCAACATTATACTGAATGGATGGAAAATAAAAGTCAAGCTGAACCAAAATGTAAGGATATCGCATTTATTTCAATCCATTTAATTACTTATAAATAATACTTAAAGGTTTATCATATATCAAACAACTAACCCCTGAAGGAATTGTCAGTAGTCAGTAAATCAATATAGCCTGGCATAAATGTGCATTAGACTAAGTTGTCATATTATATTACCATGAAAAAATGAGATTAAAAACATGAATAATAAAGAAGTCAAGGTAATGAAGTAGCAACCAAAATGATGAAGACTGAACAATTAAGATATTTTTTGCATTGTTTGTTTGAATCTTCTCATTGATGTTTAGGACTGTAATTGATCAATGGGAATATTAAAAAGACCAATAAAAATGAATTGAGAACTTCACTTCATATCAGGACCCCGTAGCTAAGCGGATAATGCGATTCTATTTAAGCGAACGGTACTAGTGTACTGAACGGGGATGTGCGTAGGAACAATCAAATATATTTGAATGCGAATTTACAGAATCCGTTAGTAAAATTTGAGAACCATAAATTAAATACTTCATTTACAAAATGTCCATCAATTGTCTCAGATTTTGTTGTTCCTTCATTTCCAAGCTAATCACTCTCTGTTTCCGTTCACTTCTGTTCGATCCCGACAACTTTCTACTGTCAGGTATTCCACTTTCGATTGATGTTATATACTGCTTATATCCATCGACATAAGTAGCACACATTACAGTGGGTTCGAGTCCCATATTAAACATCAAATCTGGGATGCAGGTACATCCAGCTGACGAGTTCCAAATAAGACGAAACGTGCATTGTGGGTTACAGTGCTATCCACCACCCATCTTTGCTTGTCATGAGAATACGGTTAAAAAAGATAAACGGAAAAGGTACATATGAAGGGACAGTGGTGCCTAGGATCTAGAAGAAGATAAAGAGTGGATTTATCTGGTGTATTCTTGACGATTCTAAGACATACCATTCAAAGTACTCAACCACCAATCGAAAAGATTCCAAATAAGTGTTTTAGATATACACAAATGGCTAAGATCAACACCCAATCACTTTATGAACTGATTTGCGAAATAGTTTAACCTCTAATAGCTTTCTTTACAATTACTTCTATGGCGCGTTGATGTAAGCGGTACTTAAGCGTCGGTATTACATGTCGTAAAAAGCTGAGTCAGTGAAGATTCACACCCACTGTCGATTAGTCAATTAATTAAAACAAATGCCAAAATGTTTATTTGTAATAATTATACCATTTAGAAACAAATTGATGATGAGTTTGATTGACATAATAACGTGTGATAAAAGACCATACAATTCATAGTACATGAATCCAATGAAAATTTGTGAATTTTTAACAAAGAAAAGAGCAAGAAAACATGAAATGGATTGAATTCATGTTTTCTTTCTCAGTTCATTGTTCTTGCTCTTTCTAACATAACAAAGGAAACTAATTATATGAAATTTTACCATTGAGTCATCAAGACATTATTACGTTTGATGCCAGTTTTCGCAAGCTTTTCAAAACAGTTGAAGATCTTAGTGCTCTATATCCATCAGTTTTATGAATTAGACAATTAGCATCACTTTCTAGAGCAGTATCTCTGTCGTGATCCAAGTTTTAAACATAAAATGAACGAATTTTTGGCCCTGTACCAATGTGTCTTAAACTTTACAATACTGTATATCCTCTAAGTTCAGTTCATATGTGCCATGTTTATTTAGTTCTCTTCATATAAGTATAATAACTAGGTTAATAAAAACTGAGATGAACAAACCAATTGATGTAATTTTCAAGTGTGAAAAAATATAACATGATGGTTTGTATTAATGTTTAGATATGTAATAATTAAATTATACAACATCAATTAAATCTCCGAAAATGCCGTCAGAACAGTTTTGTATTTCTTATTCTAAGAAATAAATTTCATAAGTATAGAGTTGTGGAGATTGTTGAGTCTCATGGAGATAATCAACCAATCAGTGTTAGACCACCATTAAAACCTGAAGACATTGGAAGACTATTACATCCTAGTATAGGACTATCATATGTGAAATAGTGATTAGTTGTGGGTGGTAATTCTCGGAGTTCTAGTGAGAAGCGATGACCACTGGAGTTCAACCGTGCGTGTGACAGTTACCTACCGCAGACTTTGAAAGATGATAACGCAATATCATGAATAAGTTGAAGTCACACTAGAAGTTAAGGGTTTGAGTCCCACGTGCGATATCGTGGATGCCCACTGCAGACGATTCCGGTACTATAATGAGACGGCCAACCAGTACTTTCAGGTTTTCAATGGCGTCATGAACCAATCTAAGTCAGACATCTGTTGAAAACCTGAAGGAACAGAATGACTGCTTTTTTAATGTAGAACTTCTTGGCATTTCACTCCCATTACCCACCATAGAGGTTCAAAGCCAGGACTTTCGGTCTCGAGACAAACCATCAACCCATAGATCATTGAGACGGTATACAGTAATATGCAGAGCTAACTCTAATCAGTACAAGATGCTGCTCAACTATCGTCTGATGTTCTTCTTATGTACTTTCTTCACTGAATTTAGATATTGTTATGTCTCGAACCCTCAGATCAATATCACGTTCCCTGTAATCCATTAGAATTCTGATTCTAATTAAACTCCATGGCTTGGTGTATCTGACTTGGCTAACTGCATGCTCGGCCGGTACTACTGACCTTCAGCCAACAGCTAGGTTCTGACTGGTCCACTATCCGCTAGCTCCTCTCTATGCCTGGCGTTGAGTACAATAGTCAGCAACTACCCTTTAACATACTTATATTTCAAACACGTGGTTTATATTAAGATATGCCAGACACCGACACACCATTAAGTGAAAAATAACACTTATACATAAACAAGCCCAAAGTGGCTATGAATAAAGGAAACTATAAATAATAGAGTGACAACAAAATAAAAGTAGCAAAAAATGTTACCGTAGTTAGTGAGGTAACCATAATCTTACAATGAATGGAGTAAATACACATAGTAATCTCGTTTTCATTGTGGCCCTTTATCTAACTCCAATTAAATCGTATTATGATTGTTATCAAAATGTACATCCGAGCTACCCTCGTATATGATGATCAACTTCGCTCGTGTTAGTGGATAACGGAATTAAATAAGTCAAATACGAGAATGGATTTCGTATACATACATTTCATACAGTCGTTGATCCAGACAGACGATCAGAGAAACGAAGCGGAGGAAGCGAAGAGGAGAGAGCGAAGCGAAACAAAATTACGCAGAGTGGAGAAGGTAAGTGGGCCAGCATGATTTAATCAAACGTGACTGGAAATTTATAGTTAGACAAAAATAGGTTACAGATATGTGGTGAATAGGGTAAAGGATTAACACACACACTCATATAAAAACAGTGAAGTTTAATAAGCAGATAATTAGCAAGGTCAAAATGTGACTCATGAAGAATGAATAAATTGATCTGTCTGGAAGCTAGAATAACCCATACCGTTTTGGCATGGTACTAGACTTTACAAGTTACTCAGAAATTATACAACACAAAAACCGTTAATAATAGTTCGAAAAACCAGTTCCAAGTTTCTATAATATACGTTTCGTTATAAAGGACATTTACAGAATTACACTATGGTTCAACAGTACAGAAGTAAAAAACATTGTGTATGAGACCGAAGGTTTTTGGCATTATTCCTCTCTAATGGTGTCGTGAATGAGCAATTCTAGGAAGGCCTATACTAAAACAAAAAAACTGTCCAGTTCTTCCAGATTTCCAATGGTTTTCTAACATAAATCAGCTCTTGATTTTAATAAACCCCAGAATATTTCCGGATGTGAAAACAATGCGAAAACATGTGTGTATGTGTGTTTATGTATGGGAAAAAACAGCTGAATCTAAACGAGAATCAGATGGGCAATTATTAGATGCGTCAGTGATTTTTTTCGAGAAAAAAAAAGAAAAAAAACCCTAGATTGTTCCCATATTTTCACATTTTTGAGAATTTCACATTCAAACTGTGGTCATTAATCAAAATGACATTATGATGATTGTTACTAATTGCTTTATTCAATATTATAGTTTTGGTACAATATAGAATTCTCAGCACAAATTATTTCAACAAGTTTCTTTTAATTATTTCTTTATTGATTCTGACGACAACATATTGAATGATCGCCAGTTAGATATTAGCTGTACAAGAATAGATATTCAATTAATGTATATTCTTTTCAATGCATATTGCCAGCTATCATGATGTTTCTCATAGTACTTTTTTGTCATTTGTACAGTGAAAGGTCGTGAACTTTTTTGTAAACACATCTAAATGGGTTGTGCAATGAATAGACAAACAAAAACAGATAACTTGTTGAAATATTTTGATTGCAGGTACAATCAACCCAGATATTCATTGAACTAAGAATAGTTATATCAAATTATAACTCAATTTGTTGATTTTCAGTGATTTTTAAGTGAGATTAACTTAAAGATAAGTGAACAGTGGACTCGATGAATATCATGGTACTTAGTAATGCATAAAATAATTATTATCTGACAGTTGTATTTTTAGATAAAATAGGGTTAAAAAGAAATAGCTTAAATCAAGACAGAGAGGAGGAGAAGAGGAAGAGAAACACAAATTATCAAAAGTTTTCTTTATTATACATTATGTTTTTTATACCTATTTTTAGTTTTGAACAGTATACTTTTTCTGTCTTTCTCTTAATCAGTTTTCAGTAACTGCTGCTCTCTCTCACTATATATATATATATATATATATATATATATATATACTTCTATCTTATTCTAGGACCTACCTGATAAGCATTATTGAATCCTGGATGATCTAAATCATGACAGATGGCCGATATAATCAAAATAAGCTGATCATCTATGTCAAGTAGATTGGTCAAATTTCCACCCCAGATTAAAACATAGCACTAAAACAAAGAAATTAAACAGCATTTAGATAGTCATTTACGTTACAAATATATATATATATATATATATAAAGAATTCCTTCAAGTTGCTATAATGTTCAAGTCATAAGCTATTTTTAGAACAAAAATAATGTATCGCTTTAGCGAAACCAGACTGAGATTATACGCAGCGTTTCGAGTGATACGAAAGAAAATTTGAGATTCCTTTAGGCATATATGAATATAATGTTCAGGATCAACACTTTGCAAGGGTTTAAGTAAGTCATATTAGTCAGTCAACTATTAACAGTGTAAGTTGTGGTACAATCATGAATTGACCCACAACAAGAGGGGGAAATTATTCAGATGAAAAGCATAGGAGTTGAAACAATAAAATATCATTAGTAATGGTGAACTAAACATTAAGAATAAACTACTACATAAAACAAATAAAATGATTGGATGAAAATTAAATGAAGTCTAATTTAAGAAACATCTTATATAAATGTAGAGATAGAGTAGATGGTTGATCAAAGTATGAAAGGTTAGCTCAAAACTGTTCTGAATCAATGCATGATCTGACTGCAGACATTAAAATAGTTATACTTGTTGAAAAATCTACTTATGGTTGTTTTATCGAGCTTATTGAAAGAGTAGATAGTTAACGAAATGTTAGCATGGATAGAAGGACACTGTTTAATTTTTAATAACTTGGTTAATTGATGAGCAAGCAAGATACTCATTTGTCTATGGAATCACAAGTAGACTATGAAGTAATCCATTCAGTATTAATTAATAATTGTGAAGGATTAACTTTAAAGGTAAAAGACATGTCCAAGTCTCATGTATTTGATAATACGCGATTGCGAATAATCAATTAAGTACAGTTGGATTATCAAGTGTGCAGTACCGAATTTGGAAGCAATGCATTAAGTATATTATGATTAAGATTTGAATACTTATTGACTAAGGTGCCAAAAATATAAATTATGTATATCTAGTCACAGAATATTCGGACATCGTATGGTTGTTAGCATGGAGTAAGACTGAAAGAAAACTAGTCCCAACCATATCGAAACACGAGAATCGTCATTTTGAAAAATGAATTTAATTCAAAGACAATAACAGCTAGATTGAGTGTTAAACTTATTGACTAATTTCACAAAGAATGAAAACAAATTTGGAAAAAACAAAAACAAAGTAAAAGTACACTCCAAAACCATATCAGTCTCTCATGTGAAGAGAAGAAGAACGATCACCTTCCTTTCCTAGATATATTTCTGAGTAGACGAGAAGATGGCTCAGTCAAACCATCCATCTTTAGAAAACCAACGTGGACAGGTCAGTACCTTAGTTATTATAGTTATTGCCCTGTGCAATTCAAACGTGGTTTGATAAGGTGCCTATTCAACAGGCTTGATCGTATTTGTACAAATGATCCCATTGATGATCAAGTTAAAACATTAATGGAAAATGGCTATCCTCTGCAATCCATAAATAGATGGAAAGTACGTGGTATAATGAGACCTAATGTATGCTTGGTAGAAAAAAAGCCTATCTACATCACCTAACCATTCAGAGTTGATTCAAATAGGCAAAACGAAGGTTTAAATCAGTCATCAACAAAACGTATTGTGCAGCAAAGGTCATTATCAGAGAAAAAACAAGGTGCATGTCTCATCCAAAACCTAAAAGTACATTATGCGTGTGATCAGATTGTTCGAAATGTATTGAGCTAATATCTCATCACATAGTTCTGATAATCTTCATCTTCTTATTACATGATCAAAATGTATCAAAGGGACTAATTACTTCAGAAAAGAAGTAATTATGAACATAAAATTTATTTATTAGAGAATGATAAAAGTTTTAATTTAACTTACCATTTGTGTTACCATAAATGCATGTTTATAATTATGAAATGGAACACGATTATAACGTCTATAAATATCAGTAAGCCATAAATCTAATCGATGTAATTGTATATTGTAATGTTTAATAAATCCAAGTTCTTGAAACATTTCCCGAACTAAACGTATTAATTGAGCATCTGTTCTAGACCAATTATTAAAAGTAGATGAGCGTAATTCAATTAAATCTTCTTTAGAAACAGGTTCTTTACTATATATAATATAAAAATGTATTAACAAGGAAATAATTCATAAATATTTGTGTAAAAGATAAAAGAATAGGCTGATAAAAGAATAGGTTTTGGTCATAGAAATGTGCGCACATATATCCTAATAAGTGTTATCTAATTCCAAATTAGTTTGTATATTGGATTAATAAAGATTGAAGAACTATTTAGACAGATGTTTAGACTTAGCTTAAGGTTATTCATTATATCGGAATCATGAGATATAGGTTTAAAGACCAGAACGACTCATGTGGTTATCATTTTGCATTTTCACTTAATTTATGGTAAGATAGGATCGTTATCAAGGTACATCGACACATGGTTTTCTTACTCACAAATTCGGTGAATTCATATTAATACATTTATTTGTAGGCTGATCAGTAGTGAGTATACTATTATTATCAATCGTCATTTTTTCAAGAGAATTTTATGGATATCAGTTTTAAGAGAAGACACGTTATCACTCAATCATTGATAAATATAGAGGGCTGGATAACTGTCACGTTTTGGTTCAGCAGACGGAATTTCAAAAATTGCCAATCCCCTAACCCGAAGTAACTCTGCCTGTAGCTCTTCTAGGGCTAGTGTCGGTCACAAACCGGGTAAAGGATGACGGCTGGGTATAAGGTAGGCAACCCCATCCCGTAGAAAAAAATATTGCTAGAAAAACACTAACGAGATTAAACAAACCAAACCTAAACCGAATAATTTTCTCAAAGTAAACTTTACATAGATTTATTCATTATTCTGATACACTTTTAATAGACATGGTCAAGAGACTGAATTATACGTACGATAGAAATGGATATTGTGAAAGAAAGCTTGTAACATGACATGGTTTAAATAAGTAACGATTTAATTACCAACAAACACCTAATCATGTTTCATGTTTACTTCACGACTAATGTTCAGTATACTAATGGTCTCCAAAGTATTTACCTGAACAATGAGCAATAACTCGAACTTCAGTCAGTCAGTCAGCTACAACGTAGGACCAGGCACATTTATGCATCGGCCCAAGTTACCATACCTCATTAACACAACAAGATGGACACCGAATTCATGAAAGTAGTTAATTCAGAGGTGGTAATATGAAAAAGAAAGATTGCAATAAAGATATAGTACAGGAAGAAAGAATTGGTTCGTAGAAAGAAAGATATAAAGCGATTTTATTCTCTTAGTTTAAGGGAAGACAGGGAGTGTATACACCGACGCCATTGTGATAGATTCTGAGCCATGTCACTCAGAGTCTCCAACCATTGGTTACGATAGTCACGCGGACCCCAACCAAGTAGTTTGCATCTACTAACATGGCTCAGACTAGAAGTTAGTGACTTCAAGCACTGATGCCACGTTTTGGTTTGACCGCCCCTAACTTTCTTTCAACCATCTCCAGCACCGGTTAGCATTGCACATCGTGGTAATCGGTGTTCAAGCATACGCAACAAGTGGCCCAACCACTTCAGTCGATGAAGATTTACAACCTCATCAACTGATTTACCATCATTCCCTAATACCCTGCATCTAACCTCACTATTACTTATCCGGTTTTAGCAGCAGACGCCAGCAATATTTCTGAGGCATCTGTGGCCAAATACTAGTAGCTTACGAGTGTCTACTACTCTTAATGACCATGTTTCGCAGCCGTAAAGTAGAATAGAACGAACTGCTGCGCAGTATACTTGTCCTTTTATTGATAGACGGATATCTCGTCTTCGCCATAGGTGACGTAAGTTGGCGAAAGCCAAGCGAGCTTTCTGAATCCGTGCTGAGATTTCGTCAGACACCAACGCACTAGGGCTAATCAGACTTCCAAGATAAGTGAAGTTGTCAACGCGTTCGACTAAATTTTAGTAAATAATAGTTTAATACAAACAATATCTTGAATCAGTTATATTTCATTAAAATACAATCACAAGAAAAAGAGATCTTAATTTAAATAGAGTAAAAACGCCAAAGTATGAGTAGTAAACTGAATTCCCTCTATTTCATGACTTCTCATCAGTTATAATACAGACTAAAATTATAAGGATTAATGGTAATCATAAACGAAGAATTAACATTAACAAAGATGGATGGTGTTTGTTTCAAAAACTTTGATTCAATTTAGCTCTTCTTTCCTTAAAAGTAATTTGTTCATATGACTAAATATAACGTAAATATCATTTATACAATAAAGAAGTAAGTAAAGATATAAATAGTGGAAAAATCAACTAAGCATAAATGATAAAGTAGAGTTAGTTTGTTTGTCTGTTTTTCCTTTTCTATTCTACATGTGATGTTAATACATTTAAACAAAACAGAATATATGGATAATGATGATTTTTTATAATTTCCCAATGAGCAAAAAAAAACAAAAAAAATTGGAATTTCTGGTGTTTCACGGCATAGCTTCCAATGTATTCTTTAGAGAATAGGATTGTTAAATATAGATTGTTACAGGCATATTAGAATACAAATAACCGACTGGTTACATCGATAATATTAACGATTGATAAAACGACATATTTATGAAATAGTGGAAACTAATGTGTTGTAGCTAACTTAAACATTTAGGTTTTATATCTTTTGACTAGGAGAATAGAAATATGTCCTAACCCACTATTAATCCCTGGCTTCGTATCCCGCGAGCGAGATCGTGAATGCGCACTGCTGAGGAGTACCACAATAGGACGAAACAGACGTCCAGTGCATGCAGGTTAACAGTAGTGGTTTAACATCAGTCGGTTCATAATCTCAATCAATAATTTAATAATCTCCTAAACCCTATCCTTATAACAATAGCATTTATAAGTCTTTATAAGCTGTCTACAGTTTAGATTGTGAAGTTAATTACTAAAAAGATGAAGCTTAACCATTACAATGTTTGGTTTGCTTCATTTATCGCCTTCTTTGGAAAAAACGACTATTAAAATGGGAGAGATGCAGCAGATATATGATATAATGTAAAACGATATTATGATCAAAATCTTAGTTGTAAAACTTCACAGATGATGATGGATGACAGTAAATAAATGTTAGAAAGAAAATATTCTCTCTAGATATAGATTCTCTTGAATGTCCACAACTTGAAATAAACATAATACGGGACTGGTTCAAAATATTGCAAATAATATACTAAGAACTGTTAACTGCTAAACATTAAATGGAGGTGTTAACAAATTGTATTATGTATTTACAGTTTTATGACATTCATTAGTTAGACTGTAGTTACTGATGACAAACAATTTGACTATTTGTCATTTTATAAAAATACAACTTACATGTTAATTATATATATTCAACAACTGATTATTGTGTTTTAATAGGAAATAATTATTAGGAATTTTAGATTTAAACGGATATGGAGCTAGGCTAATATGCGCATTAGCCTAAGTTTTCATATTATATCACCATACCCTCAAGTGCCCTGGTACGGACGAGGGTTGGGAGAGTGCACTCTCCCTTGCGAAGTGCTCTCACATTGCCACGCGTAAACAGCCACTGCCAGGGAAGCCCTACTCACCGCCTTCTCGTGGCAGGGGTGTTGTTTACGAAAATGAGAGGACGAAAAGTGAATGTCCGGCGCTTTAACCGGGTCGGTGGACACGAAGGGTCCATTTAGGAGAGTTGGAAAACCCTAATTCCAAACCAACGGTGCACATGGATTCCAGTATCCCGAATGAACAAATGGTGTATGAAGCAATTGATGGTCACCGGCTACCATGTAACTACATCTCCTGACGTTGTTCCACTGCCTTGTGGATCAGATCTTTAGGTCATAGGCTCGGGGAGTGGCCCCCTAGGAAAACCAAATGCTTCGCTTTGGACACACCTGCAGTATCACAGCCCACATACAAACCAACTGACTTGTTTGTCGCATATGTATTCGATGCCCCTTTGTACCAATATTTATGTGTTCAAATAAATAAATAAATAAACCATGAAATTATTAAGATGGATTGCAAAAAAATCAAAGTAGTGTAGTTTCAACCAAGGGAGATTGAACGATGTGAATGAGGTTGAAAAAGATAAAAGAAAAAGCTACGTATAAAAGAACAATAAGATTCAAGATAATTTATCATTAAGTTTGAAGGTATCTACTCCATTTCGAACGATCTTTATCTATGTCACCTAAAGTCTTCAACCACTTGTCATGGTTATTGAACGGATTGTAACCAGATAGTTTACGCATAACAACATGGGGGTCAAACTAGTACAATCAATGACTCCATGAAGCAATCATATATTTTGATCAAATTAATTCTAAATTTAAATTGAGATAAGTAGAAATTTTTAGGTGTCTAGCCAATGATAGTAATAATTCAACTGGGTGAAATTATTTACATGATAATCTCAATTTATCAACTGACACTAGAGGACACGATAGTCTAAGAATTGTTTTCTACTGAGTACCATATATTAGGTCATGAACTATGTCAAAAAACTACCTTTCCTGCTGTTAAATTGAATGAAAATACTGTTAACATGCAACTTTCTTTTTTAAATATGATATATATGATAAACGATAAATATTGATTTACCACAGAAGTTTAAATTCTTGTATATTTCTCCGACTATCTGCATCAGATCGACGAATCAAGTGCATTTGAGGATTTGGAGCTGGTGCATTAAAGCCAGGAACTAGAATTTTCTGGGTTGGGGGTTGTTCTGCGGTTAATCCAAGCCAACTTAGATAGGAGAACGACTGAGAAGACAAACGTTTATAAATAATAGCCACATTATTAGACAGAAAAACGAGATCATTCGAAGTAAATAAAACATTATCTAAAATGAAAAACGTAAGTATACTTTGTAGCCTAACCAATATCAAATGATAGCGTAATAGCTGGAACATTGGATCAGCATAATCACTCCTAAAAATGAGTTTCTGAGAATAATAAAACAAATACTTTATTATACACAGAGATGAATGGTGGTTAGCAAGGGAATCTAGGACGCATGTTTCGTTTCATTTGGGACTCGTCAGCTGGATAAACCTGAATCCCAGGGTTAATGTTCACTCTTGGACTCACTTGTGACTTCAGCTAATATCAAAGCAATCCACATAGGATGCACATAGACCTATATGATACTGATCAATTGCAGTCCCAAACATCAATGAAAAGACTCAAACAATCAATACAAAAATGAATCAAATACTTTACAATTTACCAAACGAATATATTAGTAAACAATTTCAAAAACAATTTGTCAGAACCGTTAATAATTAACTGTGACAACGGACCACGGGTGAATTCAAGGAAGCTGTAGGAGGCTCAGAAGGAGCCGAAGATATTCCATCCAATCACCTTTTGGAAGAATATTCCAGAATTCCTACGTGTAGCTTCCCGATTGGACAATGCTAATAACCCCCTGTATGAGGATTGGTGGACTGTAATGATGTTTTTGTTCTTACTAAAAACTATAAATACCTGACAATTTTGTAATATAGTTGACACTGTCTGGGAATAATATTCCTTTCATTAGTATTCTGTCTTCTCATCGCGACTTGGAAGGGTTCTGGAGTTCTAGTGCTCACGTTATATGCGGTATATCAAGAACAACCTTCTAGATATAACATTAACATATAACTGAATTAACTTGTCTGTGAATTCCATTTTTTCTTCAGTTTCTATCGCTAAAACTATCAACATATAACTGGACCTCCGTTTTTATTTATTGTGCAGGTAAGGAACCAAATCTCTTGAAAATCAAACATGAAGCTTAATATTTTACTGAAGTTTTCAAATATAACAATATTTCTTTTTATAACTGTAGAACATGATTTGAAATTTCATTGATTGTATTATAGACTGACCTTAGTTAGATAACCACTGAATATCTGGAAGCATTAAAAAATTATTTTGTTCACATATGGAACTCTTAATGGCAGCCCATGATCCCTCATTTAAACTTTTTATAGTAATCATTAGAAACTATTTAAAGTATAAATCATTAGAAAATTACAATTTAGTTGTAAAATCAAGCATAGAAAACAACAATAAATATAACATCTACGTACTTCAACTTGACAACGTAAATTATGAAGTTGTCTATAGATTTTTGAAATTCGTTTTGTATCCATTTTATCAATGGAGAAATTGTTCATTTTACGACAACTATGAACATTATCATAATGAGTTTCTATCATTTCTTCATCATCATCATCATCTTCATCAACATCATCATCTAAATGATATGCATTTATATCATTATGTGAAGGTCGTAATATTTTTTCTTGATTTTGATAACTTGTATTAAATGCATCCCATAATTGTTTTTTAACAATATTATGATTAGGTTTTGAATCAGTTTGACAGATTTCATCCTTTGTCATATTGATGTGATCAAAAATCTGTTGAACACTAAACAGAACATTAAAATATAAATTAAAATAGATTGTTTGAATAGAATACAACTACCATTTGAGGGTATTTAACGGAACTCATATAAGGTAGTTGATGATGAAACAACAAACCAAACACTTGTTAGATATTAATGACTCTCTTTTTAAATGATATTTAAACGTTGATGAGAATTACATGAGATAATTAAGCAAATATTTAGATTGATAACAATGAAATTCTATATTTGTAGTAATTAAGAATATCTCTCTTTGATTACACAAAAGTAAGACATGATCTTGATACACAATTAAAATGTCGACTGATTTTTTAGTATAGAGAAATATTCAGCTTATAGTTAATAGATTGTTGATTAGAGAATTAGTATCCACGTAATTCAGCCAAGCACACTGTTTTTGTACTTGGTAGATGCATTACATTGAGTAAAATGTGTTAAAGAAAGGAAGACATATATATACATATATACCCCATGGTAGTTCTATTCACGGTTATGATATTTTGTTCCGAGAGTTATGTATGTATTTAAATAACTTAGCAGTACAAAGATGTAAACATGTAATAACTTTCGAAAAGTTGTCAGGTAGTTCCTTTGAATTACTTCATGTTCAAGTGCCTACAAAATTGATGCCGACTTCCATTAATATCTCTGAGCTACGATCGTACTTGGGATTAATTAGCTACTACCCAGCTTTTGTTCCGTCAATGCATGACATACCCTTCCCACTAAATTATCTTATGAATAAGAATACTATTTGGAACTGGAAAAAAGAGTGTGAAGCTGCATTTTGCAAGGTGAAAACCATCATTACCTCTGAACTACTATTGACGCACTACGACCCATCCATGCCAATCATTGTGGCTGCAGATGCTTCAGCTTTTGGACTCGGTGTTGTCATCTCACACCAGTTTCCGGACGCAACAGAGAAAGCTATCATGCATGCATCTCGCACATTAAATCCAGCGGAAAGAAAGTACAATCAAACAGAGAAAGAGGCTCTGGCCCTTGTGTTCGCAGTACGCCGTTTTCACAAATTCTTTTACGGTCGGAGATTTACTCTTCTCACTGATCACAAGCCTCTTCTCACAATTTTCGGTTCGAAATCTGGTGTTCCAGCCCATTCTGCAAACCGTCTCCAGCGATTGGCTTTGATACTGTTGGGTTGTGATTTTGACATTCAGTGCCGGCACAGCCAACAATTTGATCAGGCAGACGCCCTGTCACGACTTATCAGCGAACACCACACGGCCGCGGAAGATGCAGCTATTGCCTCCCTAATGACAAAGGACCACGCGCAATGTTACCTAGACTCGATGGTGACTTGAAGCAGCTTAACCACCGTCGGGACTCATTATGCGTCGTGAATGAATGCTTGATGTTTGGAGATAGAGTAGCGGTTCCAGAGTCCCTAAGATCAAGGGTGCTAAAGCAGTTCCATATTGGTCATCCTGGCATAGAACAGATGAAAGCCATCGCCAGAAGCTATGCTTATTGGCCCCTAATGGACCAACACATCATGGATTTAATAGGCAAATGCACGCAATATCAGCAAGTGGCGAGATGTAACGCGAAGATGACGGTCTGAGTATCCCTGGCCCAGGATACATGTAGATTTTGCTGGTCCAATCAATGGGACTACCTATCTAGTCGTGGTTGACGCCTTTTCAAAATGGCCAGAAATTGTCACCATTATGCCACCGACGACAACCAAAACGACACAACTCTTGTCGGAGATGTTCATTCGCAACGGGTTACCGGATGTAATTTTATCAGATAACAGTTCTCAGTTCACCTCAACGCAGTTGCAAGACTTCCTCCAACTGCTATCCATCAAGCATCTCCGCTCTCCACCTTACCACCCGCAATCAAACTACCAAGCAGAAAGATTTATGGACACATTTAAGAGAGCTCTAATCAAGTTGAGAGGGGAGGGGACGCCAGTGGAAAGACTGCAAAACTTCTTATTCGTTTACAGAACGACACCTAGTGATGTATTACCCGAGCAGAAATCCCCAGCACAAATCCTCATGGTAAGAAAATTGAGGATGGTTCACAATCTGATGCTTCCGAAAACCGCACCATCGCCATCACTGACCAAGTTCCAGAGGCTGCCAACATACGAGTTTGGATGTCCAGGTGTTTGCTCGGGACTACAGACCAAATCATGGTCCCTGGACTGAAGCACATGTGGTCGGAAAATTAGGCCATGTCATGTACGAAGTAGAGGTAGGAAGAGACAGGTTGGCTCGACATCAGAACCAGCCACGCAAGCGGTTACCTCAGTTCGCCCATCGACAGAAGGGAATCTCCCTCTTGACATCCTATTAGATACCTATTACCTACCAGCATTCCCGACACAGAAAGAAACACATCGATAGGTCAATTTACGACCCAGAAGGTAGTCACTTCGACAACGGAGACAAACGCTCAAAATGCATGTAGACCCCGTTATTAAAAGAAGAAGGTATTGGGGATGCTAAATCCCCAGAACTCACTTGGTAAATGCCTAAATTTTATAATTTTATTTTGGAGATTTAAATTTCCTTGTTTTCGCGCCAAAAGCGCACTTTTCACTTTCATATCGTATTTCCCGCTTGGAAGAATCTTAAAAGCTATTGGTCCGTTGTGTATTCTTAGTATGCTATTTTTGCTACGCTTCTCAAGGACAGTTTTATGCTGTATATATACGTCTGATTTGTGTCTGTTATTGTTCACTCGTGCTTCTGGCTTACGAAATATACTTTCCCATTTCAAGCTTAGACTTCATCCTCTAGTTCTGGGTTTTAAATATGTGGTTGCAAGTGTTCACCAGTAGTAAATGTTTAGAAACATAAGAATGGTGTTAAAATTTAACTTAAAAGGTATGGTAATCACAAGGCAGAAACAGTGTATGATCATGGCTACCAACATACATTAGCTTAAGTTAACACATAACATATGAACACGTAGTAGTTGTAATAGCTAACAAGATATATTTATCCGTTTAATTGCTGTTTGATTGTGAATGCATAATCACATAGTAATACACACTATCATTCATGTAGCTTTACCAACGTTTTATCATAACAAAGAAGCATTTCAACACATTTATTAGTGTACTGTAGAACCTTACCTAGTGAACAATTCTATATTACAAATTGATAAGTAAACATTATAATTGGTTGAAGTTAGACATTAATACCGTTGGGTGTCGGCTCCGTGGTCTAGAGGTTAGATGTTCGCGCTCGAGATCGATAGGTGCTAGGTTCGAATCTCGTGAGGCGGAGTCATGGATACGCACTGGTTAGGAGTCCCATACTAAAACGACACGGCTGTCCATTTCTTCCAAGTTTTCCATGGTGGTCTAGCTTCAGTTGACTCATGAATTCAACTATAAAATTATAATTATTCATTGTAGTCTTTTTAAAACAATCAATATAAGTTTAGTACATTGTATATTACAGGTTGGTTATTTTAACAATGATAACTAACTAGATTGTCACTTTATTAATAAAACATAATATAACACATATTACCAACAGGTAGCCATCTTGTTGCTTAGTTACACATATATTTTTGTAACATTTCCTATTTAACGAATCAATATATTTCAACTTTCATATATGAATACTAAATTTAACTCTATAATCAAAGAATATTAAACAATAATGAAACATTATTTGTGAAAATTATATTTGAAATAATCTCAGTGATTGAAATTTAAATGATTTTCTTTGATGATTTTGATTTTGATTATTCTACCCTGAAGAAGTCCAGACAAGTTAGCTGGACGAAACGCTGGAATGATTTAAATTTCAGTCGCTGAGATTATTTCAAATATAATTTTCACATATTAATGACTTCTCTATATTCGGCGCCCAATTTCTATCAAACTATTCGTTCTAATCTTGACGAATATTCGTTTAAATAATGAAATAGTTCAAGACAAAATAGTTCAATATCAACTCTTATTAGAATGAAACACATTCAAATTGAGTATTCGTATTTCAATGAATGATATATAGGAGAACTTATTCATTTAAACAGTGAAGAAAAATGTTAAAAATGAGAAGTTAAAGATTTGAATTAGGACAAACTGAATAGAGATAAATGAATAAGAGAAGAACGTTGAACTCTTAGATAAACCGTGAAAATAAGCGCCAAAGCATTTAATTATCGAATCAATATAACATTTCAGTGACCTTAGAATAAACCAAGATATGCAGATATTAAAAAAAAAAGAAAGAAAAAGCAAACAGAAAACATAAAATATAATTAACGAGATCCGATTTATGTGAAGATAACCAAGTTTTCTTTTAGTTGACTCTATATACAAGGATAATGGATAATAAGGTCAAAGTATGAAGTTTGTATTTTTTTTATCTGTTGTGTGGTCTCAACTAAATATAGCCACATATTATTTTCTTGTTAAATTTCTTAGTTTGAAACCCTTAAAAGTATCGACTCACAATCCAGTAAAAGATAAAACTTCTAGAAACATTAGGTATCGTACTTAGTCAAAGTACCATTAGCGAAATTTAACGATCAGATAGCGCTGCCAAAGATAGCTGTCTCAGTTATGTGATTGTTGAACTTAACTTTTCACAACATGTTACTAAAGGTATATGAAACTACTTGAAAGATACTCATCAGTGAGTATACCAGATCAAACTACGATGTAATCATGTTTTTGTGTGACTCTAAGGATGATTATGACATGAAATAACTAGAAAATATTCATTCAGTATCTAACTCTTCTGAAACAATTCTAAAATATATTAAAATGTTAATGCTGCAGACTTTTAACGCGGTAAATAAACGTCTTTAAAGTAAGTATAGATAAATAATGCTGGAGAACATAGTACTGTAACCCAGCTAACCTCTTACTACTAACTCTAAAACTCCTGAATCCGAGATCCTAACCGTAATACTCCTAAACGCAAGTTCCAAAACTTAATAATCTATTGAACAACAAAATCATTATTTAATTCTTTCAAAATACGACATATAATCAAGATAATGG